TTTCGCGCTTTCTGTCTCTCAGTCTCTCTGTCTTTCTGGCGAGCGCATGCGCCCTATAGCAAAACCTCTCCAAAACAAAACTAATAAAGAAAATGAAGGGAAGGGGACCAGGATGTGAATTGCCCTGACTACTAGTGAAGTTAAACATTATTTATGTGCCTTTGCTTTTTTAATTTTCCTGTCTACGTTTGGTTTGCTTTCAGCTACATGCCAATTTAAAATGGCTGGCCCTTTTTATTGATTTGAGTGAGCTCTGAATAAATTCAGGGACCCACAGATGGCATAATGTTTAAGTATTTAACACTAAAATTTATTATATTGTGCTGTGTTTAAGTTTTTCCCTGGCTTCCATGATTGTTTTCCACATTGCATAAACCTTGATACAATAGAAACTAGAATAGAGGAGAAGGGATTGTGGTGTGGCCATCCCTCCTAGCGGGGTGATTTCTCACTTTCTGTCTCTGTCTTTCTGGTAAGCGCACACGCCCTATAGCAAAAAACTCTAAAATAAAAAAACAAAATTCTAGCTGCTAAAACTTTATCAGCCACATGCTTTGCAAATGCCTCCTACCCTGTCTGTGGATCATCTTTTTGTTTTATTTCTAGTGTCTTATTTTTTCCCACATATTTACATTTTAATATAATCAAATGTCATGTATTTTACCCATTATGGCTTATGCTTTTGATGTCTTGCTTAAGAGTTTTCTCCATACCCTGAAAACTTAAAAGTTATTTTATTTTTGTCTAAACATTTCACTGTTTGCCTCTTTACATCAGGTTTATAGGCCACCTGGAATTCATTTTTGCGGAAGACTTAAGATAGGAATCTAAGTTATTTTGTCCCCATACAGATAGTTAGGCCAGCACCACTCAATATTTTACCCTTTCCCCTTGATTCATAACGTCTGTTCTGTCAAATATCAAATTTCCATGTATACACGAATTTCTTTCTCACCTCTCAGTTCTGTTGCCTTGGCCAATTTTCCATTCCAGCATCACACTGTAAATATTATAACTTCACAGGAAGTCTTTGGTTTCTGGTAAGGCAAAGCCATCCCCTATCCCCATAGCTTTGTTCTCCTTCAAATTTGTCTTCGCTATTTGTTTTGATTGTTTGCTGCTGCATAATGAACTATCCCAAAACTCAGTGGCTTAAAAAGCACCAAAAGATGAGACAGACAAGTCAGCTAAAATGTCTATGTATCATGGCGTGTGCCTAAAGAGCATCCGAAGAGGCAAAGTGAAGGGAGGGCCATTTTGCTTGGGGAAGGGCAGACCTTGAGGGAAAATGGTGCTGCTCACAGGTGAACAGTTCAGGTAAAGTAGGGGGCCTAAGCCTTCTGAGCTCTGAGGGGCAAGGAGTGGCACTCTGTCTTCCTCTTCTCCCTCATATCCCCCTCCTGTGGGGCCCGAGTTTCAGGGTGACTTGGTTGCCTTGGATACCTGGGTATGAGAAAGGGGCAGATGTACATTCCCGAGGTCACAGTTCTGGAGAGGTATCTTGCAGGAATAGCCCTCCACCTGAGATAGGGAGGGGAGGGGGAACCCAGGCCCTCTTATCTGGAGCTGCTGGATAATAGGCAAAGAGTCCCTTGAACTCCCCAGTTCTCAGCCACACTCCCGCAATCTCCTCTTACCTCCTAGAAGCTTGTATCAAAAAAGGTCATGCTTGGCCATTCTCCCCTAGTACCATCCCTATTCCTCAAGCTGTAGCCATGATTGCTTTCCCTTTTTTTTTTTTTTCAAAGAATTACTGTATTTATTTTTATTCATTTATTTTAGTTTGACCAGAGAAGGACAGAGAGAGAGAGAGAGAGAGAAAGTGAGAAAGCAAGCCGCCCAGTTCGGGACTTGAACCACAGTCAGTGCCCTTAGCCACCATACCACCTGCCAGCCCCACCATGATTGCTTTCTATGGTCATTATTTGTTCATACATCAACCCAAGACACACACACACACACAGACACGCACACATACAATGAGATCACCCCTCGGTCCGGCACCTGACCCTACAGGTCTGCACGGTCTGCGTCCCTGTGGAGCCATAGGCTGGGGGTAGACCACATTCTCGACACTGGGATCCTGGAGGGCCCACGATGGTAGCTGAGACATCACAGGGAGAAGTGCTGGCACTTAAAGGCCTGCCTCCCAGAGGAAGGCGCCATTCTCACAGACCAGCTCAGCAGACTCCAAAGCTCCTGCCCTACTCCTCTCAACCCACTCTCTCTGACCGTGAAGCAACCTGACCCAGGCCCTCTTGTGGGCAAGTTCGGTGCATTCTGACAACGTTCACAACAGCTGCCTGGGTGGGAGGCAGTGAGTTCCTAGGCCTGAGACTGAGGCAGAGACCATGTGGCTCCTGAGTGAGGTTTATAAAGGGGGTCAGACATCCCGTCAGCAGTGGGATTCAGTGCCCTTTAAGGTCTCTGCTGAGAAGCAATGGCTGCGATCCAAGAAATCTTCACCACGACTTAGCAGGACACCGCCCTTCTCCTCGCTTGGTTGGAATATCCCAGAGTTCAGAGTCACTCTACGGGGCACAATGTGAAAAGGGGGGTCCCATCCCAGAAGGGCCCTGTGACATGTACTTACACTCAGTGTGACTGAGATACAGTTAGCAACGTGGGTATGGTTTCTTTGGAGAGCAAGGAGACCAGACCAGTTCTGATGGAGCTATGTGGACAACCGTAGGGAAGAGCACTCCCCAACCCCACCCTGACTAGCGAGGGCAAGGGCAAGTGCTGAGGGAGACTCCTGACCAGAGCACAGCCCAGCCTTCCTCCTGGCAGGGTTATGAGAATCCCACCAGTGGGAGGGGAGTTAGAATCCAGAGGCCAGTCAGGAGAGGTGAGAACTGGGGTAGGGTTGGGGACAAGGCACAGTTTCTCAGCCTGGATACCGGGTCCTGAGAGAACAGTTTAGAGAGGGGCTTTCATGGAGTGAGGCACCAAGAGAGGAATTTGCACCATCTGTCAGGATTTCGTAGCCCCTGGTCAGGAAGGAAGTGCTAGCAACAGCCAGAGGTGAGCACTGGTTCACTCAGAGGCAGCGGGTCCCAGATCCTTATCTAGTTGGACTGTGTCCCAGTAGCACTCATCCCTGACCCTGGGGAAGGGAGAGGGCAGGTATCCAGAAATCTCCTCTCATCCCCATAGCCTGCCCATCACATCCCTCAGACTCAACGCTTCTGCCCTCGGGGTTGATAAGGACTTTCCTTTGCTCTCCATTCCTCACCTCCTATGCAGGAGGGGGTGACCCGTACTAGTGAGTAACTGGCTTTGCCACGTGGAAGTCATTCATCACTACTAGAGCAACTCTGAACCTTGTGAGCATTTGACAAGTGAGTCTTGTCTTCAGTTCCTGGGCTCCCCCTCCAGGGCAGTCAACTGGGAGGGTTGGGGTCTATTTCCAGCGATGCTGGCGTATTCCACAGTCAGAAAGGGATCAGGAGGGGGCTTCGGTCTGGCTTGGATGTTCACATAGATGGAGTCCTCAGTGCCGAAGTGGTTTAGATGGATGGGCGAAGCATAGTGGATATGGATATCCTCAGCGTCCTCGTCAGAGACCATCTGTTCATGGAAGCCCTGGGAATCAGAGAAGACAGGTGCCAATGATATGGATCACAGCTGGATGGTCCGTGGCCCTCCGAGTGTACAGAGCTACATGGAGGACAGGTAGAAGATAGGGGACAAGGTGCTGATCCTGAAGAGCCCTTGGGAATAAATGAGTGGAAAAAGTCGCTTCTGATGGCAGTGAGGTTACCATCACTTAACATGCTTAAGTGTGTGTACATGGGCCAGCAACATCATAATATATGATATGATGGCATGTTATAAATACGTAATCAAGCTGCACCCCAGATTTATTCAACCAAGTCCCTGGGGGTGGGGCCCAGGAAACTCTGTTTTAATGGTTCTCCCAGTGGCCTTTATGCACACTCAAATTCGAGTAGCATTGAGCTAGAAAAGCATTTGGGAGGAATATTATTCATAGAGTTGATTCCAGCATCACACAGAAGGGTGGCCTAGGTGGCTTAGATTCTCCCAATCCTGCAGTTCTATAATTCTGAGGGTCTCAGCTTTTAGACAGGGCAGACCTATTCAAAAGAAATCATAGTCCGCAGCCCTGCTGAGAGAGTTCCTAGGCAGCCTTGTTTCTGGTCAGGTGATACAGTTCCCCACTGTCGACTGGACCAACGCAGCCACCCCAGAGGTGGACTCATAAGCTAGGAGATACAGAAAGCTGTCTCTACCAGGGTCAAGGTTAGCAGTTGGGTCAACCAACTTCTCTCTGTGTGTAAGGGATTTGAATTGGGAAATATGAGGACAGGAAGCACGTCAATAGGCCACAGGGAAGCAGGGGATAAGCAATCACCATTGTGAGTCAAGGTTGAGAAAAAATAGAAACTATGAGTAAGCAGCAGCTGGGAAATTAAACAAGAGCAACAAAGGTCTCCTCAGGAAGAGTACTTTCCACTCACCGTGGTCTCCTTCTGGACTGAAAGTTCATTGTAGACGTGGTAGGACTCAGCCTCGCCTGCGAAGCAAATAGTCAAGGTTCAGGGAGGGCTCGCTCCCAACCCAGTGCCATGGAAACAAGAGGGAGGGGCTAGTGGTTCTGGCTAGGCAGAGGGACTCTGATGGGAAAGAGGCCAAGGGTGACCGGCAGACATGTTTGAGCCTGAGGCTGTCCCAAACACCCAGCACAGAGTACTACTCAGGGATGCTAGGGAGTGAAACAAACTGGCCATTCATAATTGATCTGCATATAAACAGTAAACTTGGGGCAGCAGGTGGTATAGCGGTTACATGCTGGACTCCCACATGGCCAACTCCAGTTGAAGTCCCAGACCAGTGGCTTGAAAATCACGCCAAGCACATGTGCGTGTGTGCCCAAGATCCCAAGAAGAGAATGGAGGAGAAGGAATTGTGGCGTAGCCATCCCTCCCAAGGGGTGATTTCTTACTTCACCGCTCACTGTCTCTGCACAGTCAGTGCCCTTAGCCACCATACCACCTGCCAGCCCCACCATGATTGCTTTCTATGGTCATTATTTGTTCATACATCAACCCAAGACACACACACACACACAGACACGCACACATACAATGAGATCACCCCTCGGTCCGGCACCTGACCCTACAGGTCTGCACGGTCTGCGTCCCTGTGGAGCCATAGGCTGGGGGTAGACCACATTCTCGACACTGGGATCCTGGAGGGCCCACGATGGTAGCTGAGACATCACAGGGAGAAGTGCTGGCACTTAAAGGCCTGCCTCCCAGAGGAAGGCGCCATTCTCACAGACCAGCTCAGCAGACTCCAAAGCTCCTGCCCTACTCCTCTCAACCCACTCTCTCTGACCGTGAAGCAACCTGACCCAGGCCCTCTTGTGGGCAAGTTCGGTGCATTCTGACAACGTTCACAACAGCTGCCTGGGTGGGAGGCAGTGAGTTCCTAGGCCTGAGACTGAGGCAGAGACCATGTGGCTCCTGAGTGAGGTTTATAAAGGGGGTCAGACATCCCGTCAGCAGTGGGATTCAGTGCCCTTTAAGGTCTCTGCTGAGAAGCAATGGCTGCGATCCAAGAAATCTTCACCACGACTTAGCAGGACACCGCCCTTCTCCTCGCTTGGTTGGAATATCCCAGAGTTCAGAGTCACTCTACAGGGCACAATGTGAAAAGGGGGGGTCCCATCCCAGAAGGGCCCTGTGACATGTACTTACACTCAGTGTGACTGAGATACAGTTAGCAACGTGGGTATGGTTTCTTTGGAGAGCAAGGAGACCAGACCAGTTCTGATGGAGCTATGTGGACAACCGTAGGGAAGAGCACTCCCCAACCCCACCCTGACTAGCGAGGGCAAGGGCAAGTGCTGAGGGAGACTCCTGACCAGAGCACAGCCCAGCCTTCCTCCTGGCAGGGTTATGAGAATCCCACCAGTGGGAGGGGAGTTAGAATCCAGAGGCCAGTCAGGAGAGGTGAGAACTGGGGTAGGGTTGGGGACAAGGCACAGTTTCTCAGCCTGGATACCGGGTCCTGAGAGAACAGTTTAGAGAGGGGCTTTCATGGAGTGAGGCACCAAGAGAGGAATTTGCACCATCTGTCAGGATTTCGTAGCCCCTGGTCAGGAAGGAAGTGCTAGCAACAGCCAGAGGTGAGCACTGGTTCACTCAGAGGCAGCGGGTCCCAGATCCTTATCTAGTTGGACTGTGTCCCAGTAGCACTCATCCCTGACCCTGGGGAAGGGAGAGGGCAGGTATCCAGAAATCTCCTCTCATCCCCATAGCCTGCCCATCACATCCCTCAGACTCAACGCTTCTGCCCTCGGGGTTGATAAGGACTTTCCTTTGCTCTCCATTCCTCACCTCCTATGCAGGAGGGGGTGACCCGTACTAGTGAGTAACTGGCTTTGCCACGTGGAAGTCATTCATCACTACTAGAGCAACTCTGAACCTTGTGAGCATTTGACAAGTGAGTCTTGTCTTCAGTTCCTGGGCTCCCCCTCCAGGGCAGTCAACTGGGAGGGTTGGGGTCTATTTCCAGCGATGCTGGCGTATTCCACAGTCAGAAAGGGATCAGGAGGGGGCTTCGGTCTGGCTTGGATGTTCACATAGATGGAGTCCTCAGTGCCGAAGTGGTTTAGATGGATGGGCGAAGCATAGTGGATATGGATATCCTCAGCGTCCTCGTCAGAGACCATCTGTTCATGGAAGCCCTGGGAATCAGAGAAGACAGGTGCCAATGATATGGATCACAGCTGGATGGTCCGTGGCCCTCCGAGTGTACAGAGCTACATGGAGGACAGGTAGAAGATAGGGGACAAGGTGCTGATCCTGAAGAGCCCTTGGGAATAAATGAGTGGAAAAAGTCGCTTCTGATGGCAGTGAGGTTACCATCACTTAACATGCTTAAGTGTGTGTACATGGGCCAGCAACATCATAATATATGATATGATGGCATGTTATAAATACGTAATCAAGCTGCACCCCAGATTTATTCAACCAAGTCCCTGGGGGTGGGGCCCAGGAAACTCTGTTTTAATGGTTCTCCCAGTGGCCTTTATGCACACTCAAATTCGAGTAGCATTGAGCTAGAAAAGCATTTGGGAGGAATATTATTCATAGAGTTGATTCCAGCATCACACAGAAGGGTGGCCTAGGTGGCTTAGATTCTCCCAATCCTGCAGTTCTATAATTCTGAGGGTCTCAGCTTTTAGACAGGGCAGACCTATTCAAAAGAAATCATAGTCCGCAGCCCTGCTGAGAGAGTTCCTAGGCAGCCTTGTTTCTGGTCAGGTGATACAGTTCCCCACTGTCGACTGGACCAACGCAGCCACCCCAGAGGTGGACTCATAAGCTAGGAGATACAGAAAGCTGTCTCTTTCGGGGTCAAGGTTAGTAGTTGGGTCAACCAACTTCTCTCTGTGTGTAAGGGATTTGAATTGGGAAATATGAGGACAGGAAGCACGTCAATAGGCCACAGGGAAGCAGGGGATAAGCAATCACCATTGTGAGTCAAGGTTGAGAAAAAATAGAAACTATGAGTAAGCAGCAGCTGGGAAATTAAACAAGAGCAACAAAGGTCTCCTCAGGAAGAGTACTTTCCACTCACCGTGGTCTCCTTCTGGACTGAAAGTTCATTGTAGACGTGGTAGGACTCAGCCTCGCCTGCGAAGCAAATAGTCAAGGTTCAGGGAGGGCTCGCTCCCAACCCAGTGCCATGGAAACAAGAGGGAGGGGCTAGTGGTTCTGGCTAGGCAGAGGGACTCTGATGGGAAAGAGGCCAAGGGTGACCGGCAGACATGTTTGAGCCTGAGGCTGTCCCAAACACCCAGCACAGAGTACTACTCAGGGATGCTAGGGAGTGAAACAAACTGGCCATTCATAATTGATCTGCATATAAACAGTAAACTTGGGGCAGCAGGTGGTATAGCGGTTACATGCTGGACTCCCACATGGCCAACTCCAGTTGAAGTCCCAGACCAGTGGCTTGAAAATCACGCCAAGCACATGTGCGTGTGTGCCCAAGATCCCAAGAAGAGAATGGAGGAGAAGGAATTGTGGCGTAGCCATCCCTCCCAAGGGGTGATTTCTTACTTCACCGCTCACTGTCTCTGTCTCTCTCTCTCTGGTGAATGCAGGTACCATATGGCTAAAACCTCTGGGGGGTCGAGGGGGAGTCTCACCCTTCCTGGCTCTTCCTCGGACTTTCCTGAGGTACAGCACCACGAGCAGGATGAGCAGCAGCAGCAGCAGTGCGGCGACCACCACACTGGGAATGATGAACTTCAAGTTGTCCTGGGTGCTTTGGAACACGGACCAGCCAGGTGAGGACAGTCAGAGCCCAGCCCCAGCCTCCTACCCTCAAAACCACCTAGCCCTGTGCCTTGGCCACTGACAGGCCTTGCCCGCTTCCAGCCTCTCCTGAGGTTTCAAACAGGTTTACATCGAGGAGACAAATTGCTCTTCAGCCAGGACTCACTGCTCCAGCAACAGCACTACCTGCTCGAGTGGCCTGGGGGCAGCCACTGGCCAAGGGCCCCACCCTATAGGCCATGCAGGCCAGGGCACGTCATCGCCCCTCAGAGCCCTGTCGTCTGCACTCACCTCCATCTGCACTCACCTCCCCATCTTCCTTCCCTTAACCATTCTCTGTCCCAGCTTTTCCTTGTCAGCCCTTCTCTGTGAGGTGCAGTTAGCAGAGTAAACTCAGAGCATTTTTCCAAACAGCTCTGCCAGACACTAAACGCACTTTCACAAGCCCTGACTTAAGTCAGAGGAAGAACACAAAGGTAGATTTTCTTACCTTAGAGGGCTCTTAGGAAGGTGTCTGGGTGTCAAGGGTCAAAGAGGAAGAGAGAGAGGTTCTAGGGACCTCTCTGGCTCAGTTCATCAGCACTACTTGGTTTCTGGCTTACTCTCTCGGGGCAAGGAACCGAGGTTTGCCAGAGCCGAGGGCTCAGGGTCTGCGCTGATGGAAGGTGGAGAGAGGGGAGGGCAGGGCAGAGGCAGGAAGGCACTGCCAGTCCCAACGGCAGGGCCTGGAAAGCCGTGGGCAGGGGTAGAACAGAAATCAGGCCACGGGGTGTAACTACGAAGAGTGCCCTTTCCCTGAATCCACTGCAGCTCTGGGAGCGCTTCCCTATTCTCACTGAAAGATGGAGAAGAGCCAGCGTCTAAAGAAGCAGGGCCTGGCACAAGGCGAAGCCCCTCGGCCTACAATTTCATTTAATCCTCATGACCCCCGTAATGATTGGTTCCAAACTAGGCATGGGTGTGTCCCCCACGACACACCCTCCTCAGATATTTGGTTGTCATATCTGGGGTGTCTGTGCCCCTGAAAGGTCAGGGACACCGCTAAACAGCCTACAGCGCACAGGGCACCCCACCCCCAGCACAGCAAAGAACGACCTGGCTCCCAAGGTCGACAGACATTTCTATCAGAATTAGAAACCCTAATGAGATGGAAATGTTATTGACCCATTTTTTCAGGTGAGAAAACTGAGGCTAGCGTGAACTGACCCAAAGAGACCTATCGGACTCCATTCCATCTCCTGAGAGCTAGGTATCTGTGGCAGTGGGTTGCTGGGGCATCTGGCCCAGTGGGCGGAGGGTGGGAGGGTTTGGGGGGTTGGGCGCAGTACCTGACAATGACAGGGCTGGTAGTAGAGGCTGGGACTGTTGTCTTGCTGCTCCTGATGGCGGGCGAGGCTGGAGCTGTAAGAGATGACAGTGAAGGGAGATCCTTACTCTCCAAGGCATCCCCTTCCAGCTCCAGCCCGGGGGAGGAGGAGCCCACAGGTAGCCTGGGATCAAGTGAGGACCCTGAGAGACACCACACTCCTGGGAACAAAGGGAGAGGTGGTGCTGACGTGACCCGAGTAGAGCTGGAGTTCCTTCACAGCCAGTGTCACAGTGCAAGTGTCTTTCGAGGCAGGCCACATTGTCCCTTGTATCTCCGGAACATTTCTGGTCTCTTCTGTCTTCATCGTTATTGAGCCTCTACCGCCTCCCTCTCCACTCCTCTTGTCTCCTCTAGATATATTTGTTTCATCCAGCAAAGCCCAGGCAGTGTCCCCTTCCTCTTGGGCTGGAGAGACATTGCTCTGGCTTTGTCTCGTGACCTGAGCCCTGCCTTCACTGGGACTCCACCCAGAGTGGCTCTGTTATGCCACCTGCCATCACTCTTCATTTGCATATCTGTCTTTGTGGCTGGGCTGTGGGCTCCTCCAGCCCAGGATCAGATCTCAAGGTCCTGGTCCCCCTTCCAAAGCCTAGCCTAGCCCTGTGCCTTGAAATGGGCACTGAACCAAAGCTTGCCCAGTGAAAGACTGAATCGCTGATCTGGGTTCTCCAGGCACCCGTCTGGATAAGTGGCCAGGCTGGTTC